GGGGTCGTCCACGTCACTGTCCGAGGCGATTGGCGCTGGCCGACCATGCAATCGTGTTTTGGAGGACGCCTTGGAAGAAGGGAATCGCAACACCAAATTCATATTATGTCCCCCCGCCCCCCAAATTTTTTTTTTTTTTTAAATGAAAAGCAGATCAGAATTTACTCTCTGAATTATGAGGCCCTCTTACCTGGTGTGTTCGTCTGCCACGCCTCTTCTTGATATGTGGGCGGAGGTAGGCAAAGTTGTCCAAAATCCACTGCTCCGTGGCTGTTAACTCCTGATCTGCCTGCGTGGACTTTTTGCTGTTTAGCTTGACAAACCTGGTCCTGTAATTTTTCAGGAAGCCCATGACTTGCTTGTCTGGAAAAACAAAACACAGAAAAAAAAAAGAAATGTAGATGTATTTTCCAGAATATACATACACACACCCAATCCATTTGCACAGGCATAAACATTTAAGTCGCAATACCACAAGAGGGCACTAAATCAGTGGTCCCCAAACTTTGTGTGTGTGTGTGTGTGTGTGTGTGTGTGTGTGTGTGTGTGTGTGTGTGTGTGTGTGTGTGTGTGTGTGGGGGGGCCTGAAACATGTCAGACCCCGAGTAACTCCACCCTCAAACACAACCGATGAACCCTTACCCCACAGGTGTCAAACTCAAGGCCCAGGGGCCAGATCCGGCCCACCATATCATCTTACGCGGCCCGCGAAAGCAAATCAAGCATGTCAAGTTCCACGATGCTTGCTCAAGTCTAAACCAAAATTTCAATTTGTCACATGTAATCCACAATAACAGTCATTATTCTTGACTTCTGATTTTCAAACTAGTTATCCATCAATTTGTTGTGCGCTGTGTATGTAATATGTGGCGGTGGTTAAACATTTGTATGGTTTCCCAAAATTCATAACGGGCCTCCAAGGGAAACTGTAACGACAATGTGGCCCGCGACAAAAATTAGTTTGACACCCCTGCCTTACACGGACAGCAGTTACTACAGTGGACGGCTTATCGTGTTATCAGGTTGCAGGGTGCACGAAAGGGTTACTTTAATGAATGAAAACCATTTTATGTCATTTGTCCTCTTTTTAGCACAAATTAAACACAAAGTTGCCTTCACACACACACACACACACACGCACACACACACACACACACACACACACACACACACACACAAAAAATTTAAATAAAAGCGCTGCCTTTGCTATGTCTACCTCCTAAAAGTGAACCCAGAAAACGTGGGTACTTACAGGTTGGCGCAGGCCGGCCCTTGTGTTCAAATTGCTCTTTCACAAACTGCTTCACCATGGCTCTTTTGATACTTGGGTCCTTGAACTCATCCAAACAGGAGTCATAAAACATGGGGTACTTCTCAAAAAAGGCAGCCAACACTTCTTTGTCGGCCCGTGTCCACGCAAAAGTCGAACTCTTCTTTTTCTCACCCTCACCACAGGTTGAGGACGACAAGTCATCTGCGAGTTCAACCGCAACCGGCGGCTCCGGACCGTCTTCCCAAAGTGACGGGAGTTCCTCGTCGCCAAAAATGTTCACGACCTCCACGACTTGCCCAAAAGTGTCCCGAGGGCTCGTTGCCTTCCTCTTGGTGCCTTGTTTTCTCTGGCCTGCCGTGATGAGCAATGGCGGAGAATGGGCGCTGATCTCTCCCCTGAGCGGCCGATGCGTTTGCGTACGCGCGTGAACGGGCTGACATCGAAAACGGAACCATGCTCAAATGGTCTCTTGCGGCGGCAGAGAAAAAAAAACAAACTTTGGCGACACGTCTTACAACTGCTCACAGATGCCTGCCAGTCTTTTGCAAACACTTGCCGCTAGTGCTGGGCGATATGAGGAAAAAAAAAACCCTCAATCACAACAATGGTTATTTTATATTACAACCACGACATACTTTCCAGGTATTTTATTTATCAAAAAAAAAATAATAATAAAACGTCATCACGCTCTGACTTTTCTCCCTTCATTTTGAAGAGGCATCAAACGGATCTACTGGTGCGGCTCGACAAAATCAAACGTAAACAGAAGCAAAGTAGCCTACAGATTTTTGCACACATCTATATAAGAGGGATTAAAAAAAAAAAGAATCCTTTTGACAGAACTTGATGAAAAAAAAATGAGCTTTACAATGATGTACTTTGGACAACATTTATTTTGCAGATTTCAAAAGTAAAAAAAAAGAAATCACAAGTGCGTACTGTATGGTGAATAAAAATCACATTTTAAAAAATATGACATGCATTCAATGCACTGGTCGCTAGATATGTGTCCATTTTCGGAATGGCTTATCCTCAATATTAATTGAATCTTCGAGGCCACTCCTCTCAATTGGCGTATGGCACGCAGTCACATTTCCGAGCTGTGTGTGTGTGTGTGTGTGTGTGTGTGTGTGTGTGTGTGTGTGTGTGTGTAGCATTATCTCGTATGAATTTTCAATACTTGGAATAAGTGTCGCTCATTTGCTGCCACGGAGGCTGTGACTGCTGAGTTAGCAGCGAAACCGCAACGGGTTTGGCAAGCAGTAGGAGGCGGCCGAAGCTCGTTGCTAAACTTGCTATGGCTAGCTGCTGCGGCGCCTCGCTGCGGCTGCAGGTGACCAAAGCATCCCATGGAAGCCTTTGGCGACGTCTCCGCCATTCAGTTATCTTGGCGGGGTGGGGTGGGGTGGGGGTGGGGGGGGATCAAAAATCTGTAACACTTTGTTTTGTTATTCTTTGTGTTTTGATTAGGCTCAAAATGCATTCCTCTGACGTTCTAAAGCAGCTTGCTGCGGATGTCAAGCGAGGGCAGAAAAGCCACGCGGTGAAATGCGATCCGTCGTCATTTATATCATCATATCGCCCAGCGCTACTTGCCCTTGTCAGTGAAACAAAAGAGTTGCAAGGAAATTTGGAACGTGTTCAACAAGACGAAGAAATAAATGAATAAATAAATAAATAAACTGTTTCCAAACACGTTTACAACCATTTCCTAAGCTCAGCGAAAGCCCAAATTGTCGACATTCGCAAGCATTTGCCGCTCAGCGAGAGAAGGCCTGAAACGCCATCGGGTTTTCAAGAAGCAAAGATGCATTCCAAAGCGTTCGCGTGCCTCACCTGGCAACTCTGTGAGCGGCTCCAACTGCTCTCTCACTTGCACCTCCTCCTCCACCTCTTCTTCTTTCTTTTCTTCTTTCACTCGGAGGAGCTCGGCTTCACGCTGCTGCTCCGGCGCAACGCCTCGAACAACGAGAAGGCATGCTTTTCTTAAGTTTCTCCTTTTACTGGTCATGACATTTGTATTGTGACGCGGCGGTGAAATGAATCATCGCTAATAATTAAGACGAGATTGGGATTGGTCCATTTGCGATTTCTGAAGTGGCACTTGGTATCAATCGGTACCCAGGAAATAGCGACAAATGTATATTTAGATATTCTATCTATACCAAGATCTGAAAGAGTTATGTGGCTCACTGGGGAAGTGCTCCCGCTTCTCTTCTTCTTCCTCTTCTTTCACGGAATGGGATTCGGGTTCATGTTGCCGATGCTCAGGGGAAACACCTTGAGAAACAAAGAACACACAGTCCTCTTTCAGATTTGCGGTTCATAATATCCAACGTCCTAAACAAGTTTAATTCAACACCGTTTGATTGTATTTGAAACTCAATTCGGGAGCAACTTTCCAATGTCTCAACTCGGTCCAAGGTTCTACAGTACATAAATCACATTTAACACTCTTGTTGGCTGTCGTGATTGTGTAATTTTTTTTGTTTGTATTAATTTATTTTGTGATAATAAATTCGTAGAAACTTCTTTGGTGGATTTTATTTTGGATACAGACGAGCGTCAAGGGAAAAATTCAATATGGCAAGTGCCCAAACCTTGGCCGCATCTCTTCTTGAAGGCTCACAAGTTCAACCACAAGAGAATTGTGTCCATTGTTTACTTCATCCTAATTTGGACAAGACGATAGCAACACGCTACACATCTCAATTCCTTAAACATTAATCCGATGTTTCCCCAGTCAGTGTGAGAGCTTCCCTCCCCTAAATTCCAGCTGAGACAGGATATCCTTCCTGCCTCCCAGGGACCTCTTCATCTGCTTCGTCAGGTGCAAAACAAGTCATTTCCCCTCTTGGGGGCATGTCTGTGAATATTTATGACCGCCTGTGAGCCCCCTGTTACGGGTTAGGGTTCAATCCTGGTGTCATATTATCTGACAAAAGTAAAGCCAAAATTATTTTGGGCTTGAGAACCTCCAAGGATCTTAACTATTTGCTTTAAGGAGTCCAGGTGGACAAAAGGAATGTTACACGACTGCAGAATTGAATGAAGTGAAAGAGGATGTACAATAGCTGGTATCTCTGAGATGTACATTTGTAGATAAGACAGACTTGTTAAAATGTTAAAAAAATAATTTTTTTAATCTCACTTTTTTTTGCTTGTTTGCTACTATTCAGGTAAGAGTAAATGACTGCTGCATAAACACGATGAGAGAAGAAAATAATGCGAGGTCACGGCAAAATAACCACTTCGTCCCAACATTTATGTGTGCATTACAAGACTGCTCAGAGAACAAGTTTGAGATATTGGAGCTTGAATTCTCAGGATGAACCTAAAAATGCCCTCCTGTCATAAAACCTTGACGGGTGAACTTTAACTCCATTTGCCCAAACGATTTTGCCAAGATACATTGATGTCCAAAAAAACAATCGAGATTCGAGAGTTGCACCCTTCGATGATTTCCCTGAAACGGAACGAACCTGCTTGGTGTCGTCCAACTTCAAGTGGAGACTTGAAAACGGCGTCCAACAGTTGTCGTTGTCGCTCGATCTCCTCTTTGGATCGACAAAGCTCCTCCTCGTACTCGGCGATAGTTGTTTCAACCGCCACAAGAATTTCTTCCACAGCGGCACTTAGTCGCTGATTCAGCAAAGCTCTCAGCATCTGGACTTTGCACATTTTGTTTCCCCACACAGTACCAACACTTCACGGGAGAACTTCCGCGTCTGGTTTGGTTCGCAGCTTCCAAGCAAGCTTCTACTTTTGAGTTTGTCCCAACACAAATAGTCTAAGCGCTGTCTTTTGTTTAGGTGGGGTGGGGGCTAAATATGATTTGATTTTATACTACATCATTAGCTTAGCTTAGCTTTCTGTCTTCCGCCTTCTCGCAGAAAAACTAAAAGTAAAATAAAATAAAACGGAGAAGACCACAAATAGTTGTGGAAAATACAAACGTTTCACTTTTCAACGTTTATCCACGTTCTGCGCTCTTGGGTAGTTGTGGTAATTGTTCTTTTTTTTTTTTTTTTTTTTCAAAAAAAAATAAAGGTTTTTCCCCGGGGCGGGGCCCCTT